GATGTGCTGACTCACCTTTCTTTCCTGTGTTCTCTCCAGGCACTAACAAGCCCTGAGGACAAATTGGAGGAGCTGACAGGGTTGGTGAAATCCCTTATTCGGTCTCATGCAGTCAGAGACCAGAAGTGGGAGAAAGATTTGTCACGTCAGGAGCAAAGGTGGAAAAGCATGCAGCATCAATTTCAGCAAATTCAGTTACAAGTTAATACTGTAATTGATAAGCCTGAGCCATCAGAGGTGCCAGTACCCCCTGCAACGTTGGAAGAACAGGAACACGCGTTCAATGTTGACATTCAAGTGGCCCAGGGGTCCAGGTCTTCAATTAAACCTAAACTTTTTCCTCTGTCACCGGAAGATGACATTGAACATTTTCTCACCACGTTTGAAAGAATGGCAAACGTGTGTCGATGGCCCAGAGATGAGTGGGCTATTCGTCTGGTTCCCCTGTTGACAGGTAAAGCCCGCACAGCCTACATTCTTATGGACTTAACAGACGCTGAGGACTATGATAAAGTGAAGGAGGCAATTCTGGCAAAATATGAGATTACCGCTGACATCTACAGACGCCGCTTCAGATCCCTGAAAGTTGAATCAGGTGAGACGCCACGTGAACTTTATGTAAGGCTGAAAGACTTGTTTTCAAGATGGATTAAACCTGAACAATCAGCTGTAGAAGAAATATCTGAGCAGATAATTCTGGAGCAGTTTTTGAGAATGGTTAATCCAGAGCTGGAGATCTGGATACGTGAGCGTGACCCGAAGACTGCAAAGGAAGCAGCTAGCCTCGCAGAGGTTTTCACTTCAGCCAGAAAGGGAAGCAAGAGCACCTACTTTAGCCGGGAGACCCACTACGCCCAACCAAGTAAGTCCATTGGGGGTGAACAGGGTTCTGGTCAAGTCCAGGCTAGAAATTTTTCTAGTTCTAGGCAGTTCCCTTCTAGTAGACCTCACAATGTGAAGAATTTCTTTAAGTCTTCAGTTCAGGATGTTGAATGTTATCACTGTCATAACTTTGGCCATATACAACAATTTTGCCCTGCCCTTAAGTCAAAACCATCTCTTTTGTGTGCAGTTCCAAGGCCAGCCGTAGAGCCGGTAGGAAAGAAAGCTTGTACTGTCCCTGTTTTAATTAATGGGCGTAAAGAAGAAGCTTTGCTCGACTCTGGTTGCTTTCAAACTTTGGTACACTCTAGCATAATTGCAGGGGAAAAGGTAAGTGGGGTGGGGGCTACAATAAGTTGTGTGCATGGGGATGAATATATGTATCCCACTGCTGAGGTTTATCTGACGGTGGGAGGTCAGACTTATTTGTTAGTGGTAGTTGTGGTTCCCAGTTTGCCATATTCAGTGATACTGGGTAATGACATTCCCACTCTTTTTGATCTGATACATCAGTCAGATTATGACCCCCAAGTGAGGGCTGAGAAAGATATTCAAGGCTCAGGGGAGGAATCTGGAGGTTCGCTTCCTCTAGATAGGACAGTTGAACCACTGAAAGCCTGTCATGTAGTTACAAGGGCACAAAGTGTAAAGGAAATGATGCAAGAGTTACCCTTTTTTGAGGAGTCTCTGGAAATAGAGTCAGGGAAGACTAGGAAATCTAGGGCTCAGAAAAGAAGGGAAAAGTTTAAAAGCTGAAGGGAGACGGGTACAGCAGTGTTTCCTAAGCCAAATAACCAACTTGAGTTTGACATTCCCTCAGATTTAGGTGCACTCCAAAGAGACGACCCTACTCTAAAACCCTGGTTTGAGAAGGTAACAGAGGTAGAGGGGGTTAGCCAAGGTGAGGTAAGCTGTCTTACAGACGCTGTTTACTTGATTAAAGGAGGCATCTTGTATCAGAGAAAGGGGAAGTGTGAAGCAGTAGTACTCCCACAACAGTTCAGAAACAAAGTTATGGATTTGGGTCATTCAATTCCATGGGCAGGTCATATGGCTTTTTATAAAACACTGAATAGGATCAGTAGCCGTTTTGTGTGGCCGGGGATGTATGTACAGGTTTCTGAGTTTTGCCGTTCCTGTGAAAAATGTCAGTTGACCTCAGGTAAAGGAGTAGTGCCAGCCCGGTTGCAACCACTGCCAATTATTGAAACACCCTTTGAGAGGCTAGGCATGGATATTGTGAGTCCTTTAGAGAGGAGTTCCATAGGCTATCGCTATATATTGGTCATATGTGACTATGCAACACGGTTTCCTGAGGCCTTCCCACTTAGATCAATTAAAGCCCGTCATATTGCTAATTGTCTGCTGCAGCTTTTCTCTAGGGTAGGTACAGTATACCAAGAGAAATTCTGACGGATTGTGGAACGAACTTTCTATCTAAGTTGTTGCAGCAGGTTTATAAGCTGTTAGGGATAAAGGGACTTAAGACCACCCCTTATCACCCCCAAACAGACGGGCTAGTGGAGAGATACAACCAGACTCTCAAAAGTATGCTGCGTAAGTTTGTCTCAGACACAGGTGCAGATTGGGATCAATGGCTGCCTTACCTTCTGTTTGCCTACCGAGAGGTCCCGCAGGTTTCCACCGGCTTCTCTCCTTTTGAACTTTTGTACGGCCATCAGGTGAGAGGCCCACTGGATCTGCTTAAGGACTGCTGGGAGGATCCCAAAGCAGAGGGTGAAAATATTGCAGCCTACGTCATCAATATGAGAGAGAGATGGAAGAGAATGGCGTCATTGGTGCAGGACAACATGAAAGCAGCACAGAAGCATCAAAAGACATGGTATGATCAGAAGGCCAAGGATAGAGGCTTTGTTCCAGGTCAGAAAGTATTGTTATTGCTTCCCACCAGCGATAACAAGCTGCTGACAAAATGGCATGGGCCATATGAGATTGTCAGACAAGTGAGTAAAGTTACTTATGAGTTGAATATGCCAGAAAGAGCCAAAAAATATCAGACATTTCATGTGAACCTGTTGAAAGAATTCTACAGCCGACAAGGGCCAGTCCATCAGTTGCTGGTGCGGTCGGTTAGGGATGAGGAGGTGACGGAGAAGTTCTTTCCAACTAACATTGCAGATTGTACTTCAGTTGACCTTTCTCATTTGTCTCCTATGGAGCAGGCTGATATAAAACCACTCGTGGATCCACAGCTCTTTCGAGAAACACCAGGTTTCACATCACTGGTTCAACACAATATACGGGTGAAGGAGGATGCGCCTGGTCGTCAAAATAGCTACAGGATTCCAGAGCGGTTGGTGCCAGTGCTGAAAAAGGAGATAAAACTGATGTTGGATCTGGGAATTATTGAGGTGTCAAGTAGTGAGTGGTGCAGCCCGATTGTTTTGGTACCAAAGAAGGATAACACCCTGAGATTCTGTATTGATTTTAGATATTTGAATGCAGTATCCAAGTTTGATCCCTACCCAATGCCCAGGGTGGATGACCTGTTGGAGAGAGTTGGATCAGCAAGGTATATTACGACACTGGATCTGTGTAAGGGATACTGGCAGGTGGCTTTGGCACCAGACGTGAAGGAGCTGACGGCCTTCAAAACTCCTTTTGGTATGTACCAATTTACAGTCATGCCATTTGGGCTTCAAGGGGCACTAGCGACATTCCAACGATTAATGGATCATGTACTGAGAGATGTGTCAGCGTTTTCTGCAGCATATCTGGATGACGTGGTGGTGTACAGCGAGTCCTGGGAGGAGCATGGCATTCACCTGCAGAAGGTGTTACATTGCATCAGAATGGCTGGATTGACTATTCACCCCAAGAAGTGTTCCATAGCCCAAAGAGAAGTGGAGTACTTGGGTTTTGTGGTTGGCTCTGGGAAGATAAAGCCTCAGGTTGGAAAGATTGAGGCAATCCGGTCCTTCCCAGTTCCGATGACAAAAAGGAAGGTGAGAGGTTTTCTGGGTCTGGTAGGCTGGTACAGGAAATTCATACCTTCTTTTGCAGAGCGGTCCGCTGCATTGAATGACCTCACAAAGGGCTCAGCCCCCAACAAAGTACGGTGGACAGTAGAATGTGAGCAAGCATTCAGAGACCTCAAGGAAGCAGTTGGCACACATCCAGTTCTACACAGCCCGGACTTCAACAAGCCGTTCATCTTGCAAACTGATGCTTCAGGAGTGGGCCTTGGAGCTGTCCTTCAGCAAGAGGTGGATGGTGAAAGAAGGCCTGTGGTGTTTCTGAGTCGGAAACTACTCGACAGGGAGACGACGTATTCGACGGTGGAGAAAGAGTGTTTGGCCATGAAATGGGCTGTTGAGGCCTTGAGGTATTATCTGCTGGGACGTCATTTCACTCTAGAGACAGATCATCGTGCTCTCCAGTGGTTGAACCGCATGAGGGATGCGAATGTTCGCATTGCAGGATGGTACCTGTCTCTGCAGCCTTATGACTTTACGGTCCAGTATCGGCCAGGGAAGTCAAATGTGGTTGCTGATTGTTTATCTAGGATGGCAGAGGACTGATGTGCTCGCGCTTAAGAGAGGGGGGAGGAAATGTAAGGAAGAGGACTCCCTTACTAGTTATATTGTAATCTGCATAGCACGTTAGTAGTATACTTCTCATTTTATTAAAGGCACTGTATATGCACTTTATTTGGCATCGCACTTTCACGGCGGCTCCTCATCAAGGAAGGTGGTGGTGCCTGTGAAACAGAAAAGGAATGGTGATTGAGAGAGAATAAGGTTTACTAGTAAGGAGAATTAAGGCAGATGTGTGGGTGGAAAATCTAGAATTAAAGGGGATGCAAAGAAGTGATTGTAAGATGTGCTGACTCACCTTTCTTTCCTGTGTTCTCTCCAGGGTGTTTGGGCAAATGTTTCCCCGGGGGTCCAGACACCAGTTAAAGGTTCCGGGAGAGACCACGGGTTAAGGGAGTGTGGGGAATCTTTTGTGTTTGGGGTTTTTTTGGGGTTTATAATATGGGGTTTGATGTAAGATTAAAGTGGAAAATATTTATTAATATGAAAATGTGAAATGTATTTGTATATTTATGTATTCAGGTTAATGTGTTGTGTATTATGGTGGAAGGTTGGGATTTAAGAAAATACCTGTGAGTGGAATGATGGTTTAACCTGTGACAGCTGAAAGTATTTAAGGCTGCCAGTTGTCATTAGACGAGAGTTGTTGTTGTGCTGTGAAGAAGCTCGACGGGTGAATTGTTGTAAGAAGAGCCGCATGACAATAAATATGCGTTGTTCCACTGCATTTGTTTAGTCTTCCTCACTGTCAAATCCAGCCGCTAAGGGCCGCCTCGTTACAGGGGTCAAACACCGTATTAGTATGGTGTTCCTAATAATCCTTTAGGTGAGTGTATATACAGTATATACACACTACCCAAAAGTATGTAATAGATTTTGTATGACCAAACATCTTTTGTCACCTCCAGGTTTCCAAACTGTCACTGGCTGAGGTCAAACATTAAAGAAAACAGTCTGGAGAATCTGTGGAAAAGTGTTTGCTCCCCAGTTGACAGTTCATTTAAACTGGTGTGGCAGAGGGGACAAAACACCGATGAGGAATACAAACATCATAGATGTGATTATCCGTAAGTAAAACCAATGTTTAAGCAAAGGTAAAATTTGACCTTTCAGGAAAGTTTTTATCCTAAAGGTTTAAACACAATATGGATTTAACCTCCCCGTGCATGTTACATAATTCTTTCCCATAGATTTCATTGGTTTTAATGCCCAAGTTTGTTTTTTTTCAGACTGCAGATAAAAAGTGAACAAAAAGAACATAAAGGAATAACAATAAGCTCACCTGTTCATGATTGACATTTACATTTAATAAGGTCTAATGTAAGTGAATTGTGTCTGTTCTGTTTTTTAGAGTCTGCATTACGAAACCCACTGGTGTCTAGTCCTAATGAGGCTGAAGCTGAAACAACCATCAAAGAGTGGCTCGTGACAGGCTGACCAGGCGTGTCCGATAGTTCTTTTCTTTCAGTATTTTTATTTTTCTGTTTTTTTATTTTTGTAACGTGTGCATTTTATATTTTGTGTGTGCATTTCATGTTTTATTTATTTATTTATTTTTAATAAAAACTCTTTTAACGAACACCTTTGTATTTTTTATATATATTATAAATAAAATATATTAGTATCGATACGTGTTCAACACTAAAGCAAACGTTGAAATAATTATTGGCAATCGTAGGATAGTAAGAGTCGGGAAATGATCGCGTAGGATAATAAAAAGGGTCGGGGAATCATCGCGGAGTTTGCGCTAGACGTAGCGTTTTCATCGCTGTTGAGACGGAAAACGTCGCGATTACATCGCTTGGACGGAGCTGTTACGGAGACGCTAAGTAGTGCCAATGTGCAAACGACTGAAATGCTTCTAAATACCAACCTTCAAAAAACGTATCAGCGATGTAAACACAATCGACATTCTCAAATGCTGCACTAAAATACATTACATCGACTAACAAGTAAGCTTTAACATGTAACAATGATAATGAAATCAAATACTTACAGAAGTTGCTTTAACAGACAGAAATAACTCAAATGGAACCGAGTGCAGCCATCACCGTCTGTCCTCAATTAACTCTAATACAGCAATCCACTTCCTATCTACCAACATACATGCTATAATAAGACGGCCCACAAAGTGGTACTGTCACACTAAATAACACTGAGTTGAAACAGCATGGCATATTTTCAACGAAACGCAACAGTCACGTTTTACTAAAGGCGGTCACAAGGGTCA